TATTGGAAGGAGATGAGTTTTTATGAAGATTTGGTGTAGAAAGTGAATAAAATGGTTAGGTATTTATAGGGAAAAAATACAGAATTTTTTGGTATTTAAAAAAAAATTCAGAATTTTTCAGAATTTTTTTGAATTTTTTTGGCCAAAAAAAAAAAAAACTGTGTTACTGTGCGCTGACGTCAGCGTGATGCCAGCGCTGACGTCACAAAACTCGGGCTTCAGCCCAGGCAGAAGTTGCCCTTGGGCTTGCTCGGGCTCGTGGGACCCACCACCAAACCGGGCTACGGGCCCTGCGCTGGAGCTGCCTCGGGCTCCCTCTGGCAGCCTTTCCCCCAGGCTGGTCCATGCGCTGGAGGTGCTCTTATGCATGGATACATAGGTATTGTTGGTACTTATGTTGGACTGTCAGAGTTTTATTGATGAACCCTATGGCCCATCGACGGCTATAATTTGGGGAAATTGTTGGCTAGACATGTAAGATATTCTTCAAGATGGTATGTCTGTGTCGATAAGTACGTACACTCATTTTCAATGACAATGTCACATGCAATGCAAGAAGAGAACGCTGAGATTTTTTCAACCACAAAAGGGCTTAAAAGCCAGTATGTGACATATATGTATAAGCTAAAATCTAATAGCAATTTTTATCACAAATAAAAAATAAAAAATCTAATAGCAATTGGTAAATTAAACGGCTACTAGTCTTTCAGTTTAGGCCCATATGGTTCAAGATTCATTATAACCAATAACTAGGGTTGGTTTTTCTTTGAAAATTGACAAGCTTGTTAGTAGTACCAAAAAGGACATAGACGTGTTGATTGATGGTCCTAGTAGACATGGACATACATGTTCCAGTGGGTCCTAAAAATAGCAATAATTGCTGGTGATAATATATGTTGGAAATACGATTCTGGCCTTCTCTTTCAATTGGTCGTTTTCAAAGAGGTCCCCAATTGTCACACCCTAAAACAATCCAAACCTAGCCATGACCTTGACCCATCCTGCAATAATTCCACCCAAATTGGATATATATCTTCTCTCAACTTTGGTTTATTTTGAGAAATTAGGACGCTAGCTCTATTCATGCTCTATATTTCTTTTTCCTTTAGAAATAAATAATTATGTCTTTTAGGTAATAGGAATTACAAAACATTAATTAATGGATTTTAAGCTTAAGCCGTTAGGAAAAAAGGCAACAATTGTACCAACTAATATCTTCTCTGACGTGTCAATGTGGTTTAATCTAGTGATAAAGGTCTAGACACGCAGACGAGTGCGCATGCTTGCTAGTTGTCACAGATAATACCAATGGGTACGTCAATACAACACAACATGTATTAATTCATCAACGGTCGATGAGCACTGTGAATGTCTTTTGAAAATGCACATACAAATGTCGCGTAGCTTTATATTGTTAAAAGTCTTATACATTTAATGACGTCTTTGACGTTGTCGTACATGTGAATGACCATTGTTTAAACTTATTTCACAACCTTTGAAAACTTATTTGACAACGCTCCAAGGATGTGGTAGAAACTACCACCCTCTTATTCTTTAACAACCTCTTATGAGCATTCACTACAAAAAAGAATGCCTTTAGCGATGGTGATTTATGGTCAGAAAAGGTGTTTTGTAGTCGAAAATATCCTTTTTTGACGGCAAATTGCCGTCGGAAGTCGTCGAAAAAACGCTGGTTGCAAATAGTTTTTTTCCAACCACTCCGTCGGAAATAATGTATTTTTCGACGCCCATATTTCATCGATATTGCTTATATTTCTGTCGAAAATGCATTTTCAAAACAATGATACAAATTCATTTCCAACCATAACTCTGGTCGCAAATAATTATGCAACTGTCGGAAATAATTATTTATCGAGATCTTTTGTTTTGCAACAATATATTTTCGACCAATGACTATTTGCCGTAAATAATATTTCCGACCCTAAATTACTATTTGTGATGAATATAATTTGTCGGAATTGTGCATTTCCAACATGGAAGTGCGTCGAAAAAATTGTTTTTCTGACGACATTTATAGCAATTATCAAGAGTAAAAAGTCGTCGGAATGTACAAATATTTTGTAAAAGAAATATATAAAAGATTTCCAATGAGAAATTGTTGCACGAAAAACAATATATATTATTATTAGTAAAAGACCAATGTAACAAATTCCAAAAACTCATTACAATCCTAAGATATATCCTATATCAATGGTCCTCGAAGCCCACTTCCAACCGAATAAGGTGTTTGAATGCAGCTTTCAGGTCTTCCTGTGACTT